TGAAAAGGTAGTTTTAATGTTAAAAAAACCCTTTTATTGATCATCTCGACATCGAGATGTATGACTATGAAAAATAAAAAGATTACGTCTAAAAAATAATGCATTTTACAATAATTCTTGCTTCAAAGAAAATAAAACTAACAAATCCAATATCTTAAATACCTTGATGTCATTCAACCAATTTTCTTTAAACGAAAAAAATATCCGTAATTCTTATGCTTGGGAATATAAAACCAATATAATTAAATCTAACAAGAAACAAATAAAAGAGAGTGTCGGAGATTACCTCAACCAGGCTTATTACACCCCATACTGAGTCACCAACATTCGATGGTACGGGAAACAGTTTAGCTTCAATCTCAAATCGAAAAAACAAATTTCAGCCAAATTGAATATTCACCCTTAAAGCACGAGAGAGAATGTGGGAGACTTAGGGTTGGAGCGTGCCCCTCCAGAGGTTTAGGAGAGAGAAGGTTAAAGAGAAAAAGTTTGAGAGAGAGAGACCTACAGGAGAGAGTGGGACGTGCCCCTATGGGAGAGAGAGGAGAGAGAGAGAGTTGTGGGAGAGAGAAAAGTGTAGAGATTAGGGAGTTTATAGAGAAAAAATAGGTTTAGGGTTTCTCATAGTTTGTCTCTTCTTGAGATTGAATATAGACCGTTGATCAAGGTGCCTTATAGGGTGAGAGATCTGAGTCATCCATTCAATTGATGGGCCATCAACATTATAGAAGATGTTTGAACCATTATCCCCCTTTTCTTAAATCATTTTCCCATCAATATATTTAAATAAATTAAATCCTATTTAAATATTATTCATTCAATAAAATAGCATATTCTTTCCCATACTATTCAAAGATATGTCAAGTCGCTTTTAATATTTAGGATAAAATGTTGTTATTTTCCATATCTAATATTAGATCACATAACACAACATATATTTCCTAAATTTGAATAACTTGACAATAAAGCAAACAACCAAGAGGTGGGGCATGCCACCCATGTGTGGCATGTGTGGGCCCCACCCACATGGTACATGGTGGAGTCCTCCCCGAGAGACGAGTCAAGGTCACTAAGACTTTATGCGACCACAACACTATGGCGTATAGTGGTATCTCTCGCTTACGCCTACACTTCACCTTAAACGGTGGGTATCTGGTTTTCTCGAATGATTTATCGATATGCATGTCATGTGATGGATCATGGATGAGGTTTTGACCCCCGTCTCTATAGGCCCACCATCACACACAAGGGTCACACAGTCCTTCGGCTCATTCATCCAGGCCTAAGCTCCGACCTCATCAAGAGATAACCCAGAACCCTTCTCAGTTTGTTCTCTATGCCCAGATACCTTGGGTTTTCCAACTAACTGACCTAGATCGTCAAGCACAGTCCGGTACCAGTAAACATCGTTTGCTTAATATGGTCCACGAGGGACTGCATTCCCACTGAGTTCATGTTCCACTATATTATTTCATTTTACAAGCACTCATAAAGCCTTTATAGGCTACATAAAACCCAACAGGTTTTGCTGGAAAACCTTATGATGGACTGAAGCTCAATTTCCTCCCCAGATTGTAAGATTTGAAGCTCTAGAAATGGTACGGATCTAGTGATAAACACTCAAAAATGTATGGCATTAAAAAAGAATTGTGAAATGTACGATTTCTAGAGTTTAAATTCTTTCTTTCTTTTTTTTTTTTAATTTCATGGTTATCGAAGTAAAGATGATGAATTTGTAAGTTTTTTGTCAAAACTATATCTTCTAGCAAGATTTAAAATGCACCACTAAATGCAATACACATAATAAAGATGGCGAGAGAGAGAGAAGAAGAAATATTGGGAAGAACCGCCGGACAGGGTTTTGGAGAATTTCATAGTGTTATTCGGTAATACAAACACCGAACACAATAGACAGTCTCTAGTGTCCAGTATCAATACTATCGGGCATGCAAATAACAAAAAAACTAGATATCTAGTGTTGACACACTGAACAGAGACAGTGTTTTATTGAAAAAATAAGCTCTTGTATTAAGTGTTGTTATTGCTAAACAGATAAACAACCTAGAGAAAAAACACCACGAAGGAATGGTCGTTCGCATAATTTATGACAAAAATGTCATTAAATGACAACAGACCCCTAAAATGTGTCGATACGTAAATCGCTGTAAGTATTATTAAACAAGGCTCGGTAAAATATATGTAAAGGGGCCAAGGTGAAGAGGCACATGAGAGGAGAGAGAGAGAGATGAAAGTCAAAAGGCTCGAATCTAAGTACAAAATTAGGTCATTGAAAATTTCTTTCTTCTTGATAACAAAACAATCACATGCATAGAGCAATAAAATTTTCCCTCGTAACTTGAAACACCATTAAAATGTAAAAGAATCTCCTACATTTCCGTTTTTATACAGTGTTTTTGTAGTAACTTATACCCCAGATTGAGAGCTGTTTTCTCTCTCTCCTCCTCTCACTAGAATCCAAGAAGAACATAGTATAGAAGCGTAATGGGCAAGGCAATGAGCATGCCAAAGATGACCCTGTCACATTAAAAAAAAGAACAGATTAAATAGTAGTCAATAAACTCTTTTCAAGGTACGTAGGGATATATAATTTATACATTATTCTCACAATTATCTATTTAATTTCACAATTAGGAGTGACGTAAGAACAATGCCACAAACCACCTTTTTATTATATTTGTAAGGTCATAATTAATAATATATAATATAGTATATATTATCGATTCATATCAAGCCGTCCAATCAATAATACATGCTATATATGTCTTTTATTTATATATATATATAATAAAAAAAAAAGTACTGCCGAAACAAATACTTCCAAAATCTATGGTTCGGGCTTGAACTTACGCAGTACTAAGAACATCAGCATGAACACTGTACTCCTTAGCGAAAACAAAAGGAACGATCCCTTGTGGAAGAGCTGCCTGTAAGTGTTGAACCAAATTGGTTAAGTAAAAAGAAGAAGAAGATAAGAATGCCCTCAAATAACTATAAATCATATGGAACTTTAGAAGTAGACCACAAGAATTGTTAACAGGCCCACGACAGCCCATTGGTTGCACACCAGGCCCAATTTCATCTAGTTTCAGGCCGCGTGTGAAGGCTGGTGGGCCCTAATGTTGGGCGACCTTAGTCAGCATGAAATTTTTTTAGGCCAGGCCCAAGCTCTCACGGTTCCATAGCTACGTGCCTTTTTCGATTTGGGTCGACCTCATTATCATGACTCAGGAGAGGCCTAGTCCACTCAGGCATTAGGCCCAGGCCTGGACATCACCCGTTAATTAGGGGTGGTAATCGGGTAGGGTCAACCCACCTAGGTCCGGGTCCATGTGTTGGATCCAGGATGTCTAGTTCGGGTTCAAATGACTAAGACCTGACCCCAGTCGAGAGCGAGTCTTGGTCCAGTTTGGACCCCATCGGGTCAGGTCGGGTTCATATCGAGGTCTACCCAACCCAGAAATACATAAATTATACCCTAAAATAAATTTTTTTATTTTTTGCAATTTCTAAACGCACATCCGGATCCAAGTCTAAATAACTTGAACTTGGACTGGCTCGGGTTCTATGTAAAACCCAGTAATGTCGGGTCGGGTCGGGTCAACTCAAAGTCAACCAACCCCTTGCCCCCTTACCATTAACACCCCATTCAAGTTGATGGGCATGTTAGTAATTTTACCTGAACAATAGCCACATGGAGGAGGACCCCTCGAAGCCCTATAGCTGAGGAAGTAGCTGCCATGACAGCGGGCCCCACCAAGAATCTAACTGCCATGGAGTAGCCAGCAACTGATGTTCCACAGGCTATAATCTTAGGCTGCAAAGCCATGAATAGACCTAACAAAACCAACAAATTTTTTTTACAATTAATTAAAGAGAAAGATTCATTAATGGGACAACAAAAGAAAATAACAAGAAGGCAAAATCAATGCAGGAGAGAGAAGAGATTCTTCTTAATAAGAAAGTATGTGATGAACTCGAAGTTAGAGAGAGAAAAAGATCAGAAGTTCTTACCTAAGCTGAACATGGCCATTCCAAGCCCTGCATCAGAGAGAATTGCTATAGATCCATGCACAATCGTGGGCATTTGAATTTGCCACCTAAAATCATCATTCAATTGTAAAGAGAGAAACATTTTGTATAACAAAAATTTCAGAGAGAGAAAACTCATACCAAGCCACGACCTTTACCATACAAGCCATTTCATGTAGCAAATGCTATAGAAGATAACCATTTTGATCGTGGGTAGAGAGAGAGAGATTCGTTCTTTGTTGGGTAGAGAAAGAAACATTTTTGTTTAAGTGCTAGACAGAGAAACAAAAGTGACTCTTCTGCAAAGGAAAATTTCATTCAAGGGGTCAACATTAAAGGGTTTACTTCTTTAATTTTTATCTCTATTTAAAAATATGCTAAAACTATCAAACTTACTCTCGTTCAATATTGGAAATATTAATTAAACACTCCATTTCAATAACCTGAGCCATGCTGAATAAGTAGAACTACTTTCCTATAGGGCTCTTATAGGATCAAATTATTAAAATGCCCTAGAGTAGGGTTCCGACCCTGAAGAGGAGTAACTTGGGCATTTGAAAAGTTTAAAATATTTTCGAGATGTCAAAAAATTCGAAAGTAAATCACCTACGATAATTAAGATGTTTTGACCCCTTAATGATTTTGACTCTTGAATAATATTTTCTCTTTCTACTATTACATATCTAACATGTCTAGAGAGATAAACATATCTAGCCTGTCTAGAGAGAGAAACAATAAAGGGCTTATCTATGGCAAAGACTCATTTACCTGAAAGAAACAAGAGACCAAGCTAGCCCAAAGAGGCTAGAATAAGTGTTTGGATTCCTAATGAGTTTTCTCCACACCATGATAAGTATGAGCCTTGTCATGACACTAGCAGGGGGCATTTGGGCATTATTATTGGCACTAATGCGGGTTTTTGTCGTGCCATTAAAATCGGGGGTCTTTTGGGCAAAAGGAGAGGCAACGGCTGATAACTTATTAGGGCTAATGCACCCGCTTTGTATCTCTAGGGGGTCTCTTGGCACGAAGCTATCGCCATCTGGTGCAATTTTCCTGTTTGGGCTGTAGTTTTCACCCTGATCCTGCATGCCTGCTAAAATCTAAAGTAGGTTAGAGAGACAAAGAGAGAGGAGAGAGAGAGAGAGCACTAGAAAAGTATTGTGAAGAGTCATTTATGTACGGATTTTAAAATTTTAAATAAAATATAAAATGTTTTGTTTATACGCGAAAATTATAAAAAATAAAGACTCAACTTGTTTTAAAAAATAATAATCAATCGATCTGAATTTTGATTTTTTTAATTCTTTTTAGTTTTTCATTGTAGGGTAATGCCTTAAAGTTTTGGGCACTACCTTACTAAAAAATTTAAAAAAATAAAAATTCAAGTTGATCGAGAGGTAAACATGAAAAAATAAAAAATAGCTTATTGACCGACCTCTTTTACAATTTTCTCCTATAAGCAGAGTATTTTATATTTGAGTAATGATCTTGTAGGATCATCCCTCACCATATGTGTAGGACCTTAAAGGATCACCATTAAAGTTGGCACAGATCTTTAAAAAAAGTTATTACATGAATGTGGGATTTGATTTTTTTATAAATCCATACCAAATTTAATAGTGATCTTT